CTTCCCTTCCCTCCCATCTTCCTCCTTACCCTCTTCCCTTCCTCTTTATTCTCCTCCTTTTATTCCCTTTCTCTCATCTCTTTCACTGCTCCCTCCCTCCCCTCTTCCTTCACCTCCTTCTCCCCCCTTTCCTGTCATCAAACCCTCCCACTAACTATTTCCTATGACCAACCTCACTTCTCACGCTCCCCTACCCTCGCCTGCCCATGGGAAGGAAGGTGAAAGGAGGGGGAACCAACATCATTTTTGCTGTGTGTGTGTGTGTGTATGTGTGTGTGTTTAAACAATTTGAAGGGCACACAAACAAATTTTAAGCAAGTAATGGTAATCTTTCTAACGATTATTATTATTATTATTATTATTATTATTATTATTATTATTATTATTATATTCAACCTACTACTACTACTACAGCAACTTTATTATGGCCTTCAGCCTCCCCTTAAACCACACCTTCGCCACCATTTTATTACCTTAAAATTAAATATCCTAATACATAAGTAGTTATCTTAGTTTTGTTGAGTTAGTTGAGCCGCAGATCTATGCGGCATGCAGTGACTGTTGCCTCATAGTCAATATCTGCAACTGTTGTCGGCTATTATTTATCTTCGTTATTCTGGCTAAATAAACTGTATCCATCACAATACAGTATAGCTACATAACTCTGATATCAGTGTCAGCTCAAGAACTTCTCACTAAGTACACAAACTGTGCTGGGTGATGGAGGGGCGCCAACTGGATCTCTGCCCACTGTGTATATGTGTTTGGGTGGGTTGTGTGATTGTTTCTGTGTTGATGTGTGTGTTTGGGTGTGTTGTGTGATTCTTTCTGTGTAGATGTGTGTGTTTGGGTGTGTTGTGTGTATGAGTTTGTGTGTGTGTGTGGATACGGACGAGGGATCTCAGGTGGCAAAGGGTGACGGTGATGGGGATGGCGTAGCAGCTTTGTCCCAGTTGAGGTCACGGTGATGATTAGAGAGAGTTGAGAGGACCTGTGGTGTCGGAGAGAGAGAGAGAGAGAGAGAGAGAGAGAGCGAGAGCATACACCACGCCCCCTTCTGCTCTCTCTCTCCCTCACCTTGTATGAACGTTGTGTATGCTAGTGTGTGTTTGACTGTGTTTATGTGTGTTTGGAAGTGTGTACGTTTGTTTATGTATGTAGGAGTGTTTATATATGTGTGTGTGTGTGTGTGTCGGTAAAAACGGAATATAACAGCATGTATAAGTGTTTATGTATGTCTATGTATATATCTACACATACCCTGTATAAACTCGCCTACCTACACATACTTACGTGGTTAAATATGTCTCCTTAAAGTAATAATTGAACAAGATATAGGAAAAAATGGCCTTTGCTATTAGTTATATAAGTTTATACTATAATAGGAGCCGTACTGGGGGTGTATTGGGTGTAGGAGGCGTACGATAATGTATCAGGGGTGTATTAGGGTGTATCAGGGGTGTATTAGAAATGTATGGGGGTGTATGAAGATGTATTAAAGTGTATCAAGGGGTATATTAGGGTGTATAAAGTGTAAAAGAGGGCCGTGGGTGTACTGGTAGGTTAAGTGGTGTGTCGAGGAGAGAGGCAAGCAGGGGGGTAGTGTAGATGGGTGTGGTTAGGTATAGAAGTGTACCTTTTATGGGGGGTCACTGCCGCCCACTGGTGTAGTCAGGGTACTCCACCTTTCTCTTACACCACACAGCTGCATCAGGACTAACTAGACCCTCTACAATCACACTATAGTTAACTTGTTGATTATTATTATTAATATTATTATTATTATTATTATTATTATTATTATTATTATTTATCTCTCTCCTTCGTTCTATACTTTTTAATTAATTCCTATATAAGAACATAAGAACATAAGAATGGAGGAAACTGCAGCGGGCCTATTGGCCCATACTGGGCAGTCCCGTTTACACCCAACCCCTATCGCTCATATAAGCATCCAACCTATGTTTGAAGCTATCCAGCGTATTCGAGTTAATGATGATATTTGGTAACTTGTTCCATTCATCCACTACTGTTTCCAAACCAGTGTTTATCTATTTCACGCCTAAATCTAAATTTGTCTAATTTAAAACCATTGTTACGAGTTCGCTCCCGGTTGGTTAGTTTGAGTACCTTTGTAATGTCCCCTTTGTTTAGCCCTGCCTTCCACTTATACACCTCTATCAGGTCGCCCCTCGCTCTACGTCTCTCGAGGAGTGCAAATTAAGATGCTTTAACCTGTCTCTATACTCAAGGTTCCTAATGCCCGGGATTAGTCTTGTCATTCTCCTCTGAATTCTTTCCAATGATTCTATATCCATCCTGTAATACGGTGACCAGAACTGAACTGCGTAATCCAGGTGTGGTCTCACAAGCTCAAGATACAGTTTTAGGATGACCTCGCTAGTCTTGTAACTAACACTCCTTTGTATGAACCCAAGTACTTTATTAGCCTTGTTACGAGCAAAAACACATTGTTTACTTGGCTTAAGGTTCCTACTTATCATTACTCCTAAATCTCTCTCGCAGTCGGATTTCTCTATGGCATCGTTGTTCATCTGGTATCTGGTTTCCCTGTTTACATCTCCTATACTGAGTACTATACATTTGTCCACGTTGAATTTCATCTGCCATTTTTCAGACCATTCGAAAAATTTGTTTAGATCTTCCTGTAGTTTTGCGGAGTCCTCGTCAGATTTAATAACACGTCCTATTTTAGTGTCATCAGCAAATTTACTTATGTTGCTGTCTATGCCGATATCTATGTCGCTTATGTATATAATAAATAATAATGGTCCAAGTACTGAGCCTTGGGGAACTCCACTTGTGACGTTGCTCCAATGGGACTTAGTGCCGTTAATGCTCACTCGCTGTTTCCTGTCCTGTAACCACGCCCTAATCCATTTAAGGATGTCACCTTTGATGCCATGAGCTTCTACCTTTCTAATTAGTCTTTCGTGGGGGACTCTGTCGAAGGCTTTGCTAAAGTCGAGATATACCACATCATAATTGTGCCCCTCGTCCACGGATTCGAAAACTGATGAAAAGAATGTTAATAGATTAGTTAGATAAGAACGTCCGCTTGTGAAGCCATGCTGGGAATCATTGATCAATCGGTGCTTCTCCAGGTGATTTCGTATAGAGTTTGAAATGATTGCTTCCGGTAATTTGCCTACTATTGATGTTAGACTGATTGTGCGGTAGTTAGAGGATAGTGATCTATCCCCCTGTTGTCTTTCCCATGCACCACAGAGAGAGAGAGAGAGAGAGAGAGAGAGAGAGAGAGAGAGACTGTTATGTGTGTGTGTGTGTATGCATACGTACACAGGAAGAAGCTCAACAAAATAGTGGTGTTCAGGAATGCCATGATTTACACGGCTGCATGGACATATGTACACAGGCACGCGAGCATGTACACACACACACACACACACACACACACACACACACACACAACAATTAATACCCACACGTTTCTCTAATGTGTTTCTTCTGTCTGTCTGTCTGTCTGTCTGTCTGTCCCCTTCACTAAGCTGTTATATTAATTTACGTAGTTTTATTATATACTAATTATTGATTTTACAGACAGTAGGTACAATTACAGGTACAGAACAGGTAGATACAGGTGTTAAGTGAAGGTATCTAGTTAAGGTAGAGTCTCAGTGTAATTTTGAAGTCAGTATATATATACCATCTGTTTGTTTATCTATCTACAGTATATAACTTACTACCTTAATAAACCTTGGTATAGTTGACCCGTTTATTCGTATTAAGTGGTGTATGGAGTGGTTCAAGTGTTGGGTGTAGTTGAGGTGTGTGTAGGGTGTTGAGGGTGTAGTTGAGGTGTGTGTAGGGTGTAGGGTGTTGAGGGTGTAGTTGAGGTGTGTGTGTAGGGTGTTGAGGGTGTAGGTGTGTTGACCATTCTCGCCTCTCAGCTCAGGAATTTCAAGAGGCTGAATATAGTGAGTCAACGGGAAACAAACTTAGTTGCCACCTCACTAAGTCATTTTATATCTTGATTTCGTTATTCATTTAAGATTGGTATATTTATAGTATAAATTGTATATCTTCTTTAAGTGTATTTTAATTGTGAAAGATTAATGTTTATTTAGTGGTTTAGTATTATAATGGTTGGTTAAGAGTAGTCGTCAACTTTCAATGGTTGACGTCATGATGGAGTAGGATGACCGAAACTGGTCAACACCGTTAACTGGAGCGTCTGGTGTTTGTTATTATTGTGGTTGTTTTAGGCGGCTAGTTGTTTACCTCTTTTAGTACCCAGGTTAAGGCGCCACCATTATGATATCATCGCTATATAAGTTCCTAACTACTAATATGAAAAACAATTAGGCTTAGTTGTGTTTACGTAAGTTTTTATTAAAATATAAATTCATTCACCACCACAACGATATCATTACCACATAGTAATTAAACGTTATCTCTTTTTTTATCCCCAAACTTGTATTTTTACCGACTTATCTGAATAAAAACTCCCGCTTTTATTACTGACTGCCCTAGACATCGTTTGGTCTGTCTGGTGACGCTAGTCTCTCGAGGACAGAATCATCCCGCTAGGCTTTGTAAACATCAACTTTTGGCGGGTTTTTGGTTTGTTTTGGTGCAACAGCTGATGACAGGCGGTGGTGAGTGTTGTAGTTATTATTATTATACGTTGTTTATGTATTTGTATTATTTTCATGGATTAATAGAGACAAATAAAACCTTTTTCTTCTTGTTTATTATTATTATTATTATTATTATTATTATTATTATTATTATTATTATTACTATTATTATTATTACTATTATTATTGTATATTATTATATTATTATTATTATTATTATTATTATTATTATCATTGTTATTATTATTATTATTATTATTATTATTATTATTGTTGTTGTTATTGTTGTTATTAGTAGTAACAATAGTACAACAGTAGCAATAGCCTAGCAGTAATAGTATGATAATCACTAACTCTCCTGGTCTCTCCCTCACCCAGACTCGTCCGACATCGTTGATTGCAAGTTGAAGTTGATCCTTGGGCTAATATGGACGCTCATCCTCAACTATTCCATCTCCATGCCTATGTGGGAGGGGGAGGACCAGGTGGCCCCAGGGGAAAAGGGCCCCTCGCCCAAACAGAGGTGAGTGTTGTGGTGTACCTGTGTTGGTCACTGTTGTGGAGTACTGTACCTCTGTTGGTCAGCGTTAAGCCTACACACCTGTTATTAATCAAGGGAGTGTGGAGTGCTGAAGGTGTTGCTGGTTGACGTTGGTTGGGATAGGTTAAGTTAAGCTCAGCCAGACAATTATGTAAAGAAAAAACATTCTGTCGTTTTTGGAATCTTGTCTACACTTTTAGCCCGACACCCAGGCAACGACAGGAGGGCAGTGTCACAGATAACGATAACACTGAAGAAAATTCATTTGTTTCAACACAGGAACGACGATTTTATTTGGTCGAATCAAAGAGCGTTTGTCAGGGTCGTGGTGGTACAATCTGAGGAGGCGGGGCGAGGAGGCGTGTCGATTTTTAGTGATTTGATTGGTTGCTGTTTCGGTGGGCGGGGCACTCTGTGATCTTGCCATTGGTCGGTATATTTGATTGGGCGTGGCACCGAAGCACAGAACTGCCTTGTGGAACTTTGGTTGATGGTTAAATTAGGTTAAGGACATTTAGGTTAGGAGTCTGGCCCATACAAAAGAGTGTGATTAAGGACGACTTTTGTGAATGGTTAAAGTCAGGTTAAGGACAAATTAATGGGGAGTCATGACCTCACATTAAACGGTGCTGGGGGGAGGGGTCTTTAGTTAATGGTTAAGTTACGGGCATTTAGGTTAGGAGTGTGACCTACAATGGGTAAGTTAACGCGTTGTACCCCAAGGAATATAAACACACTCGCTCACTGGTACACCGTTGTATAAATACCTCCATGAGAGACTGGGATATAACCGTGCTATCGTCTTAATAGTGGCAGTATAGGTACAGTACTCTCTCTCTTTATCAAATGCCCAAACAACCACATATTTTTTTTTATGATAATCTAGATATACTTATTTGGATCACATGAAGATTAGGCACCTTAGCTTATTTTATTTGATGATTAAATATGTTGATGCTACCGGGGCTTTTAGGTTAGGTTAGGTTAGTGAAATAAGCTGGGGTGCCTAATATTAATGCTCAGAAATATTGTCCACAAACACATTATTATTACCGTATTAGTGACTGGCTCCCCCTCACCCCCACCATGTATAGTGATGGCTGACTGTCTCCCCCTCACCTCACCATGTATAGTGATGGCTGACTGTCTCCCCCTCACCCCACCCCCACCATGTATAGTGATGGCTGACTGTCTCCTCACCCCACCATGTATAGTGATGGCTGACTGTCTCCCCCCTCACCTCACCCTCACCATGTATAGTGATGGCTGACTGTCTCCCCCTCACCCCCACCATGTATAGTGATGGCTGACTGTCTCCCTCACCCCCACCATGTATAGTGATGGCTGACTGTCTCCCCCTCTCACCCTCACCATGTATAGTGATGGCTGACTGTCTCCCCTCACCCCACCATGTATAGATGGCTGACTGTCTCACCCCACCATGTATAGTGATGGCTGACTGTCTCCCTCCCCCCACCATGTATAGTGATGGCTGACTGTCTCTCCCCCCACCATGTATAGTGATGGCTGACTGTCTCCCCCTCACCCCCACCATGTATAGTGATGGCTGACTGTCTCCCCCTCACCCCCACCATGTATAGTGATGGCTGACTGTCTCCCCCTCACCCCACCATGTATAGTGATGGCTGACTGTAGTACATTAACTTTATAAAGGAAGTGAAACTGAATTTTGCCTCAGACAGTAGATAGTTTATAGTACACCCAACTCATCCTGTGAGCGGTAGGAGAAAAAGGATTACTGAGTTAAGGTCATAAAGGATGTTTATCAGACCCTAGTGGTCAGAATGTTGTGGTATTGAATGTTACATAATATTTGCAGTACATTGTTTGTTTGGTTCTGTACATAAGGTGAGGCCATATGGATGTTTGGCCGCACACTTTACATTTAATATTATTCACATCTGCACGAGAGGCATTCAAGTACATTGTTTAGTTCTGTGCATAAGAGTTGAGTGTCGACATAGGTACCGGGTGCATAATGTGTATACAGTCTTTATATATCAACTATCATGCAGTCTGAGATAAAATTTTGTGTCATTGCGCATATTTTAAGCTTGGACTTGTCCCTGAAAGGTGCTATTTTCCCAGGACGCTGTGTTCCTGTGTTTGGCCATATGTCTGGTCTCATATTTTACATTGTGACTCGACCTAATGGTAATACAATGGAGAAAGGAGTTAGAATCAATAACGGGACACTGACTCCACTAACTGAACTATATGCTATACTCAGCCCTGAAACTTGTTGATGAAGTTATTACCATAAACAATCTCAACATCACTGGCTCGTTATTCTCGCTACTTGCTCTTTTTGCTCTAACCTCAGATTGTCACACACTCTTGTCTCTGTAACCAGACACAAATGTGTGTTTTGTTGACGGGAGGTGTCAGGATCAAGCTGCTGTGGATCCCCTCTCATATAGGCCTCAATGAACATGATAAAGTTGATGCCCTCTCTGAACTCACGTCTAAAATGACACTCTTTAATACAATTTACATCACTTGGTCAGCGGGAGCGAGGTGTAGTGCCTAGCCAGCAGCCTCCTCACCTGCAGTTGTTATACGGTAACCTTTTCCTTCCTGCTATTCCGCCTCTTCCCCCTCCTCCTCTCACTGTGTCAAGTTCTGAGTCACCTCTGCTGCCAGAGACTCAGACAACACCATTACCTCAGCGTCTTCTAAACCCTCAACCTCTATACTTTAGCCATGCCAGTCGTCGAGGTTTCGCGCCAATTTTGTAAACGTAGGAGAAAGACGAACAAAACAGTCCACATATATAATATACTGTAAAGATAACTATTTCAATATAGGTGGGTCTGTTACAATATTTAATATAATAATTTGTACAATGCACTAATGTTTCATCAATAAAGATGTTTTATTGCCACAACTGGTTGGTTAATATAGAACAGAAACAACAGAACATAAGATAATATGGATCATATGAAGATCCTCCCCCCGAAACCTACTTGGGGGGGGGGGGATCTTCATATGATCTAGCCTGGGGGGGGGAGGATCTTCATATGATCAAGCCCAGTCGCGCTCATCTGAAGATCCACCCCCCCCCTAACCTAACCTCCCCCCCAAACCTACTTGGGGGGGAGGATCTTCAGTTGGATACTTTGGGGGGGAAGATCTTCATATGATCCGATAATATATATATAATCACCGCGAGATGGAGAGCGTTTACTACTTCAGTCTATTTACCTAACCTTTTTTTCACCATCTTATCGCCTTATAACATTTAACATCTCATGGTATCTTTTGACACCATTAGTTTGGATCATCTGAAGTATTGACACCCCGACTTATTTCACAAGGTATACAGTTCAGCATGTATGTAGACGACACAGGTATACAAACAATGTGCGTAGACGACACAGGTATACAAACAATGGTAACCAGTAAAGCAATTCGACCAAGGGTAGACAACAAAGCCATCAGATTAACAATAGATGTTTATCTTAAGTGAAAGCCTTTATGTACCGATGAGGCTATGCAGGCAGGCCCAAGGCGTAAGGGAAGCTATGTGAACTGTTGTATGTTGGAATAGTCAGCTAATTGAAAGATATAAACTAAATAAAACGCACCTAGTATAAAGATGGTGTCAGAAATGGCGTAAGTAATTAACAAAAACTTTAACATAAGCAATTTGTTACCCCCATCTTTTTGTTTTAGGAAATATTCGAATCGCTTGAAGATTATCCACCCCCTCAGCTTATTTCACCTGAAGATTAACCACCTTAACGCTAACCTTATTTCACCTAACCTAACATCCTCAGGGAGCAATTAGGGTGTGTAATCTGAAGGTGAAATAAAGTGGGGTGGCTGGTCTTCAGGTGATTTAATTGATCGCCTTGGTCTCCTAGTGGGGTCTGTGTCTTAAATAAGAGTACGTTATTGTTGACTTTTTTTTTTTTAGAATTAAGAGAACGTATCTGGTTAAGGTACAGTCTCAGTGTAATTTTGGTGTTTTTTCATACTGAACCTTACGTAAATCTTCCAGTCATATTTAACTTAGCAACCTTAATAAATACGGGCCCAAGTTTTAATGTTTCTCGTAGGACGCAATAACCTTAAGTGCCTCAAGTAGTTGGAGATTTAATCAAGGAAATGAATTCTGTACACGTCCGGGATATGTAGTACCCCAGACCCTAACCTTGAGGAAACTTTTGAGTATATCAGGCGACCATCACGTCATGTTTATAAACCCACCCAGGGCATTGTAGGAGCTCAGGCGGCAGTGTCAACAATACCCGCCAACTTTATTAACGGCCAAGTCACATGTTCTCAATTTTCACGTATTTGTTCCCATTAGATTGGAATATACGTTTTAATATCGTTGTTGTGTGCTTTAGGGCGCTTTATGAATTACTGTATGTCTTATACCATTCTCCAGCTTACGATAGGTTTGATGATATTTATCGTTTTCATCCATAGTGAATTGTATTAAGTGGTGTCAATAGAAACATCAGCACGGAAATAAAAATATAAATTCTTAAACTAATACAAAGTTATTTAATCTTACTGCCGTCTACCATACGAACAAAAGAGCATGGGTAATAAACCACCTTATACATTCGTTTATATGAACTAATAAATGACGACCGTTCTTGTTTCCTCCGTCTTTAGATTATATAAACTTGGACTAAAACAAAACGCTGCTTTCATCTGTCATGTAAAGAAAATAGCATCGATTTCAAGCCATCACAAACTTGTCCTTCGCCTTTATGCTTTCTTAAACAAATGGTGGTCGTTCTTGTTTTGTCTGTCTATAAATTAACGTCAACTTTACCAAAAAATAAAGTAGAGTTGTGTGATCCTCCTCCCGTCTGCCACGAGAGAGAGAGAGAGAGAGAGAGAGAGAGAGAGAGAGAGAGAGAGAGAGAGAGAGAGAGACTGTAGATAGCATGAGCAAAAAAAACTAAAGCAATACACGTGGTGGTTGACTAGAGAGAGTTGGC